TATTTATAATGAACCATTTATTAACATTCTTTCCCCATAAATTGTGTAAGAGAACATCCAAGCAGTGAAAAAGGTAAGAAAAAAATTTATGCTTATTTCAGGGACCGATACGGCGCGCATAGTAACAGAAAATGAGCTACTTGCAATGCTTCCTCCGGATGGAGCATTAAATACAGCACAAGGATTCCACCAAAGTGGCCCTAACAATGGGCCGATGGCGTCCTGTGCATGGTTTGAGAGATTTTTTAATATGCTCTTCCCGCCGGATGAAAGTCAAGGACAGGAAACGGTTGCTCCTTGCGCTGCTGGCAGATAAGCATTTAGCGTCCGATCTCAGTGAATCCCGTGACAAGGAAATTGTGCATCAGAGAACAGCCCTAAGTGATCTGGAAAAATTGGAAAAATGAATGCCGGATTTTCAGTGGATAATAATAAATGAATAAAAGAACAAGATGATGCAAGCGATCAAAAGGCTGCCTGGTTCTGCTTGAGCAAATATAACATATCGCAACACAAAAAACCACAGCAACGCTTCCCTTGAGAGCATGCACTTTTTAAACTAAAAAACTATCCTAATATCAAGGTCCAAGCAATAACTGATCAAAAATGAAATTAGAAAAAATAAGCTTACAGCCATCAGCAGATGATGAAACTGTACTAAACTGCAAAACCTCAGTTTCCGTAAAAATTTTTTCACATTTTCTTTCAGGCGACCGTACGTGATAAGTGAGCACAGTTTTCCTAACAAAATTTCAGCTTTCCAAATTCTCTAGTTATTGAACTGAACACGGGTGACAAAATCCGAACAAATGTATGCACACGCTGTCAACATCTCTTCAGGCGTTATTAGATTGCAACTCTTCGAATGAAGTTTTATTTCATTTGAAGAGTTAGGACACAGTGGGCCGGTAACGACTAATGCGACATAATGAAATGAACTACAGAATCTTTTGACTTAGAAGATGGTATAATCCTTTATCCTTGTGTAAGATTATTGCCCAAAATAAAAGAACAGAATTCGTTGAACTCAGTTCTTTAC